CCTGCCAAAAAAGTTAGAGAATATACATTTTTTCTAAGCAGATACAGAAAATATACAGATTTTGATTGCGCTGTAGATATTTATATCATGAAGTTATTTATGTAAAGCTTAAAAACTTATAAAATGATACTATACCATATTCATGGATATTATCTTCTTAAAAAACATAAAATACATGGGAGCAACAGACCCTAAATTCAGGCTGTAGGTTTTTCTGCAGTTGGAAGGAGGAAAAGGGGATGGGGGAGGGACATATTAGGGGCCTCAATGGTATCTGTAGTGCTTAAAACAACCTTACATAAAAGATCAGCTTCCTGTCCTGATCCAGAAGGGGTCTAACCTCTAAGTCTCTCTCTCTCTCCCACTGATTATAACTAAAACTTTTAAAAGCAGAAAATTCTTAAGACTTGGAAAAGTCATAGCATGCAGTCTGAGGAAAGGAGTCAAAACTTGAAGAATGAACTGTTCAGAACTGAATTTCTCATTTCCCCCCTTCTATTTCCCAACTTTGATCTGAGGGCAGCCTAGTTGTGGACCTAAAATCCTGAGAAAAACCCTGTATTTCTGGCCAGAGGACTGAGAAAATGGATCCCTGGGAACTAGATAACAGGGCAGCAGTCCCCAACCTTTTTGGCACCAGGGACCAGTTTCATGGAAGACAATTTGTCCATGAACCTGGGTAGGGGGATGTTTCAGGATGATTCAAGTGCATTACATTTATTGTGCCCTTTTATTTCTATTGTTATTACATTGTAACATATAATGAAATAATTATGCAACTCACCATAAGGTAGAATCAGTGGGAGTGCTGAGCTTGTTTTCCTGTAACTAGACGGTTCCATCTGGGGGTGACGGGGGACAGTGACAGATCATCAGGCATTAGATTCTCATAAGGAGCACACAACCTAGATCCCTCGCATGCGCAGTTCACAACAGGGTTTGTGCCCCTATAAGAATCTGATGGCTCTGCTGATCTGACAGGTGGCGGGGATCAGGCAGTAACGCGAGCGATGGGGAGTGGCTGTAAATACAGACGAAGCTTTGCTTGCTTGCCCACAGCTCACCTTCTGCTGTGCTGCCTGGTTCCTAACAGGCCATGGACCTGTACTGGTCCATGGCCCAGGGACTGGGGGCTCCTGGAGTAGGGGAAATGCTGGAGAAGAGGGATTCCTTAGCTCTGTGTATGGACCAACACAAATCTTGGGTTCAGCCTGAAGTTGCATATACCCAGGACAGACCTATAAGCACTACTGCAAAGGTTTTCACAACTGATCTGACACTAGAACCCTGCAAACAGAAGGCAAGACAGAACCTGTGATCTCAACACAGCAGGGTTGATGGCCTGCTAAACAAAACGAAACCAACATTCTCTAGAAGTTTTACAAGGAGAATCTAGAATTTCACGGAGTAATATTAGAAATGTACGAGATACAATCCAAACTTACTTGACACATAAAGAACCAGGAAAATGTGATTATTTTTCAAAGGAAAAGGCAATAGATTATGTTACTCCTGAGATGGCCCAGATGCTGAAGTTATCAGACAAGTACTTTAGCTGTTGTAACCAAGCCCACGAGGTAAAGGTAAACACCTTAAGATGGAAAGAAAAAAGTGTTTGGCAAAGAAATAGAAACTATTATAAAAATACAATACAACTTTTGAAAGTGAAAATTATAATATCTGAAAACAAAATTCATTGAATGGGCTTAATAGCGAATGGAGATGGCAGAGGAGTCAGTTAACTTGAAGATGTATCTATAAAAATTATCTGGTCTAAAGGACAGAGAGAAAAAGTGATTGAAAAAAATTAATAGACTCTCAGTGGCCTGTGATATAAGACCAAAAGGTCTGACATTCTTGTTCTTGTAGCACCAAAAGGAAAGAGAAAGGAGATTGGATTAGGAAAAAACATATATTTGAAGAATTAACGGCTGAAAATGTCTTACATTTGGGCAAAACATAAATTTGTAGATGTAAGAAGCTCGGCAAGTCTCAAATGGAATAAACTAAAAGGAAATCATGTCCAGATGCATCACACACTGTTGAAAACCAGGTATAATGGAAAAATCTTGAAAGCAGCCAGAAATAAGTAACACATTATATATAGGGGAACAATGATTCATATGACTGAGTATTTCTCACCAAAAACCATGGAGGCCAGAAGACAGTAGAATAACATTTTTAAAGTGCTTAAAGAAAGGAGCTTTTAACCCAGAATGCTATATTCAGAAAAAAATATCCTTCCAGAATGATGGTAAAATAAAGACATTCTCAGATTAAGAAAAAGTGAGAGAATTCTTTGATATTAAACCTGCTCTAAAATAAATACCAAAGAGAGACTTACAGGCTGAAGGTAAATGATACCCTCAGGAATGAAGGAAGAGCAACAGAAATGGTAAATATTGGGCTAAATAAAATACCCTATTTTTATCCATTTAAATTCTTTAAATATTTACAGCTGTTGAAGGCAAAAATCGTAACGTTGGTGAGGTTCTCAATGTATATAGATATAAACATAACAGCTATAACATAAAGGGGGGGTAAAAGTATGTATATGTTTGTCAGGCTCCTACATTTTACTTTGAATTGGTAAAATAGTAACTTGAAGTAGACTGTAAAAGACTAGGAATGCATATTGCAATATCTAGAACAGTCACTACACACACACATACACAAAGAGATATTGCCAAAAGAGCCAATAGATACATTAAAATGAAATACTAAAAACTTTAAGTAATTCAAAAGAAGGTAGGAACAATGAAACAGAACCAAAACACATAGAGGACAAACAGAAACCACATAATAAAATAATAGATATAAATTCAACCATACCAATAATTACATTAAATGTAAATGATCTAAACATACTGCTAAAAAAAGAGATAGTCAGATTGGATAAAAAAGACTCAAATATAAACTGTCTACAGAAAGCTAATTTAAATATGACATAGGTTAAAAAAAGGAAACAATATAAAGCAAATATGATGAAATGATAGAATCAAGTGGTAGATACCTGTGAGTTAATTCTGTTACTTGCTATGTTTGAAATATTCATAATAATAATAAAAGGTGATTGGATGATTTCTTACATAAATATTCTAGTCCTCTAGAGGAGGAAAGGAAAGATTGGCTAATGGATACAAGTTACGGCAAGATGGGAGGGATAATTCTAGTGTTCTATAGCACTTTAGGGTGAATGTAGTTAACAATAATTAAATGTACATGTTCAAAAAGCTGGAAGAGAGAATTTTTTTTTTTTTTTTTGAGACAGAGTCTTACCCTGTCACCCAGGCTGGAGTGAAGGGGAGTGATCTCAGCTTACTGCAACTTCTGCCTCCTGAGTTTAAGCAATTCTTGTGCCTCAGCCTCTTGTGCCTCTGCAGCTCTGTAGCGATTATTATTATATACATGTTTTAAGACAGTGTCTTGCTTTATTGCCCAGGCTGGAGTGCAGTGGCATGATCTTGGCTCACTGCAATCTCCACCTCCTGGGTTCAAGCAATTCCCCTGCCTCAGCCTCCTGAGTAGCTGAGACTACCGGCATGCATCACCACGCCTGGCTAATTTTTTGTATTTTAATAGAGATTGGGTTTCACCATGCTGGCCAGGATGGTCTTGATCTCCTGACCTCGTGATCCACCCACCTTGGCCTCCCAAAGTGCTAGAATTATAGGCATGAGCCACTGTGCTCAGCCTAAAAGAGAGGATTTTGATTGTTCACAACACAAAAAAATGATAAATGTTCAAGGTGATGGATATGCTAATTACCCTGATTTGATCATTATACATTGTACACATGTATCCAAATATCACTCTGTGTCCCATAAACATGTACAATTATTGCATATCAACTAAAAATAAAAAGAATCAATGCCCTTTAGATGGGTATATAAGATCTTTAGATGCCCGGTTCCAGACTGATGTCTCATCTTTTTCCCCTCTAGTCCCTGGTGTGGGACCAGAGCTGAGGATCTGGAATCAGACTGCTTAACTCAAATTCTACTTCTTACCTGGTGATCATGTCCAAAGGACTTTAATTTTCTTAAATCTCAGAAGACTTCAACTGTAAAATAAGAATAACATTGCCTAACACTAAGGGTTTATTTTGAGGAATAAATGTAATATTGTACCTAAGTAATGGCAAAATGCTTGGCACATAGGACTTGTTCAAATGAATATGAGCTGTTATTAGCTAGACTGAATCACCTGGCTAAGTCACTGATTCCACTACAGGTCATCCTAATTCCTTGCCTTTTACTACCAACACAACACAGATTGCAACGCATTAATGGCTGGTGAAATCAATGGAGTTTATTGTGGCCAGCATTACAAAAATTGTAATGAAATGATATACAACAGAATAGCATTTTTAAAAAGTGAATTTGTATAGTTAGGGTAATGATTGTTACAGCGTGTGGGTATAAAACATATTTATTATTGTGGGTTTTGGCCAAAAGAAGCTTGAGAAACACTGATTTCCCTGATTCCTTTTGCCTGGAGTAACGAGGCTTATTGTTGCCCTCTGATGGATTTTCAACAGCCTGTTGGAGCCCCACTGCCTTGAAAAGTTTTCACGTGATTTTCCTTAGCTGAAATGCAAAACCTGTGGAAGCCCAGGGTGGGGAGTGATTAGATATGATTTACATTCTAAGAACAGGTGCTCCTGTGACGAGGACGCCTCAGGAGGGAGTGAGAGCAGAAGGGAGCCCACCTGTGGTCATCTCAGCAACAGCAGAAGAACCTGGGCTGCTGGGAGTGGCGTTGGAGAGAAACAGGTTGATTTGGTAGTTATTCTGCAGGTAGAATGGACAGGCAAATTCCACGAGATGCCCTGGGGTTGCTGCTCAGGCTCAGGTCTTTCTGTGGCTTCTTCTTGGTCAGTCTGGCTCCATTCCTCCATGTCTGGCTCATATCACTCCCTACATTCAGAGTCCATTTTCTGATGCCCTCTTTCAGCTCTTTGTCTGCACTTATCTGTGACTGCCTGCTCATCTCTCCAGGTGAACTGGAGCTCCCGGGAGTCCTTTCCTTTGTGGGGGTTATCAATATCAGAATGGAGTGACTTCCGTCAAACCCTAACAAAATGGAGGCGGAGACCATGAAGAGCGAGCCTACCCGCATGCCTGTAACAGGACTTCTCACCAGGAATCCCTGCACATATGCCTATGATAGGGACTATGCCAGGAACTCCTCACGTACGCAAGATTCGAGGTAAGTCATTGGCTTAAGGACACTTGCCCAGCAATGGCAGCCTCTACCAATGCGACGTCGCCAACTCCTGTAATCAATGGTCTTTGTTTCCAAATAGCTTATGTGGAATTCTCCGTTTTTTGGTCTGTAAAAGTTTTCTTTAGCCCCAATCTCTTTAGATATGCCTATGATTCATCCCAGCACATGTTTCCCAGGTTGCAATCCTCTGCAATTCCCAAATAAGCTCTTTTTGTGGAGATCCTGTCTCTCTCTGTCATTATTTAGGTTGACACCTTTTATGTCCTGCATTGCTGTTGATGACACCCACATTTGTACCTCCGGCTTGAACGTCCCCATCCCCAACAACGAAATTCCTATATCTGTCTACTCGGTACCTCTATTTGAACCGCTAAGATGAGTATCCCAAACTGAGCTTCTGTGATGCCCCCAAAGCTGCTCCTCCTCACCACCTCTTCCTCTCAGCAATGGCAGCTTTATTCTTCTTTGGGCTTTATTCAGTCCCCCAACTTTGGAGCTTTCTTGACCCCTCTCTATTGCTCACATGCCATATCCAGTGTGTCGGCAAATCCTTTGACCCTGCCTTCCAAAGACATCCAGAATCTCCTCACTTCTCACCACCTCTCTGTCTCACTCTGTGTCAGGCCACCCTGTGTGTCACTTGCACAATCGCAGGAGCCTTGGATGGAGTCCTTCAGACCTTCTACCTCTTTGACTTCATCTGGTGCTGCTCCAAGCCCCGTGCTCTTCCTTGGACACAGCGAGCATGCTCCTGGCAGAGCCTTTGCACTTGCTGTTCCCTTTGTCGGGAAGCCTTTTCCCCAGATACCTGCTCAGCTCATCCCTTGTCTCTTTCAGTTCTCACTCAGATTCCCCTTCTCAGTTGAGTCTTTCTGACCATCCTCATTAAAATCAAATAACACCCCTACTCCACTCCCTCGCCCATTTTCCTCATCCATTTCCGCCCCCCCCAGGACTAATCACTCTCTAACATTCTCTATATATATATTTAATATATTCGTTTATACGTCTTGCATAAACAAAACAATTTGGTTTATTGTCTATCTCTTCTTGCTAGAATGTAAACTCCACAAGGGTAAGAGTGCTTGTTTATTTTGTCACCGTTGTGTCCCTGGCTCCTAAAATGCTGATGGTGTGGCCAGCTGCATGCGTTTTGCTGTCTCTATTTTGAAATCCTTAGTAAATTTTGGACAAGACCCTCCTCTTTCATTTTATGCTGGACCTGGAAAATTACGGAGCGGGTTCTGACTTCCAGGCACATAGTATGCATTTAATAAATAATCTCTTGAATGAATGTTGAATGTGGTGGTTTTCAAAGCAGATGTGGGATAAGAGGTTACTGATTGGTTGACTGAATGGAGGGAGGGCTGATTATTCATTCATCCATTCACTAACATTCAACAAATATTTACCTGACATCCTTAGGGATTAAATTTCTGTCCACTGATAGCAAACCTCGTGCATTGTGTTGCGCACTCCATAGATTTGAGGGATTTTAGGAATACAACACCCTGTGATGTAGGTATGATTGTCTCCACTTCCAGGTGAGGATACTGAGAAGTTAAGGCATTGCCTGAGGTCATGTGGCTAGTGGAAGCCCCAGGCAGGATTATCCCATGGCTGGCCAGGCTGAGCTATGGGGGCAGGTCCTATACTTTCAGTCTCCTCCTTCAGAATCCCTCCTCCTCACTCCCCATTCGTGGGCTGCTTCTCCCAGGATCAGGCAGCCTCTGTCCACCTTTTCTCACTTCACTGTTTCTCTCTGCAGAATTAGAATCGGCTCTCACCTATTTGTTTCTTACTGTGGATTTATCCATGTGTCACCTCTCCCAGGCAGAATTACATTCTGAAGGCATCTCTAATTGAGATTGTTCCATGGGGAAGGACTCTTAGACCTCAGGAAGCAGGTGTTAAGGCCTTGGAGTGAGGCAAGAACCCCAAAGCCCTGATGACACCCCATGTAGGTACCCCTAAACCTGCCTACATTTCAGGCCAGGCCTCCAGTATAGAGATGGAAAATAGTCCCACTTTTGGTCACAGATTCTAGAAAACTGTGAAATTCTGGGGAAATCCATTTTGAGTAATACCTTTTAGAAGAAGGAAAAATGGAAGTAGCTTATCATACCATGGGTTTTGTTAGACAAAGATGGCAATTCAGGAGGAAACATAAATTTAACAACTCTTAAGTATGTGCAGCTGACATCTCGTAGAGTGGGACTAGTGACTAAACCAGGAGTTACCGTCTGCATCCTCTGTCACTTACAAATAAAAATGAGGACCAGACCTTAGTTATGAAATGCATGAACAACCTCTGCTGTGGGAGCCACATAAAAAGATGGTGATTCCAAATATTTAACCTTATCATGTGTCTGTGTGGTTTCATTTGAAAATGGTGGGGTGCCTGAAATTCTCAGAACTTCGAAAACTCTTAATTTTTTTTTTTTTTGAGACAGGGTCTTACTCTGTTGCCCAGACTGGAGTGCGGTGGTGCAATCATAGTTCACTGCAGCCTCAAACTCCTGGCCTCAAAGGATCCTCTCAAGTACCTGGGATTACAGGTGCATGCCATCGTGGCCAATTTTTAATTTTTTTTTGTAGAGACGAGGGTCTTTCTCATGTTGCCCAAGGTTTTGAACTCCTGGGCTCAAGAGATACTCCCATCCTAGCCTCCCAAAGTGCTGGGATTACAGGCAGAATTCATCATGCCCAGTTGAAACTCTATGCATTGAAATAACAAATATAAGAAATAGGTAAAAATATAATACATAATAAATATAATAAATATAATAAATACACAAATATATAGTATTCTACATGTAAAATCATATGTATTTTATATATGAATATATTATATATTTTGTATATGACTATATTATCTATTTAATATATATTGTATATATATTTGAAAATATTATATATATAAAGTATATGACATATAAAATCAGAAATAAACATAAGGAATGTAAGTATTGAAATTACATTGTAAACTTGCTTTTTGTACTCAGACCTTCCCCACAGTATTAGGATGGTTTCATTGGCAAGTAAAAGAAACTGAACCTAACCCAGCTTAGGACTTCAGGAAAATTGATTGAATGATTGGTTGATTGCTTCTATGATTGAACACGCTGCCTCACCTCCAGGCCTCCTGGCTTGATGCCCAGAGGGGCAAAAGGACCTTCTCTCTTCTCCCAGCAGTCACATGTCGAATCCTAGATGAGCTCGGGCTGGCCTTACTTGGACAGATGCCCATCCCTTGGGCCCTTGACTTAGCAGGAAGGATGGGGGGCTGATTAGCCAGACCTCGAGGGGGCCAGAAACTGTGATCGAACCCCCGAGAATCAATACCATCAGCTTTGGGGAGAAGCAGCTCCCAGAAAAAAGAAACAGTAATTGCCTATAATCTTGCTTTTCTTTCCATGCTGACAAGAGACATTTTCCCTGAGACTGACAGAAAGCGCCGTGTTGTAAAGAACTAGTCCTTTCTCTTAGCTGTTTTCATAATTCCAGGTGTTTTGTGTTCCAGTCAAAAGACTCAAGAAAAGAAAAATTTCCCAAGAGAGAGGTTCAACTTCTTTATTTTGGGAACAGTAGCTAAAATGTGGTCTCTGGACTCAGGCTAACCTAGATTTCAACACTGCATCTCCTGTGGAGTGTAGGAACTTGGGAACTTAGGTCCTGTTGGCCTTCACTTTCCCCATTTGTAAAACAGAGATAAAATTACACCCCTCTTAGTTTTGTGGTAAGGATTAGATAAAATAACACACATTACCAAATAGCACAGGTCTCTGTAGATTTTCTTTTATTTACTTTCTCCTTCAAATACCCACTGGGTAATTTTTTACCCCTGGAGAAGCCTTGGAAAAGCGGTGATACCAGATGCATTCCCTTATCTTATCTCTTGTCACATTCATTATGCTGAAATCATCCATTTAAGTGTGTCTCTCTCTCTTATTTTCCATCAGGCGGCAGGTTCCTTGAGATCCAGGGCCATGTGTTACCCATTTTGATGTCCCCAGTGTCAAACTTAATGCCTGGGAACACAATAGGAATTCAGTCAATGTGGAGCTGCTGAACTATTGAACCACCAGGTAGAGCTTTTGAGGGTGACCGATCATTGTTGCCTTTAGAAAAGCCAGATTGGTGGGTTACACCCACACAGAGCCAAGTTAGACTATTTTCCGGAATTTGTTTAACCCAGGGTATGTATTTACCTGGACCTCAAATGGAATGTTGATGTGACCTAGTCATCTTATAGGCAGGGAAGAGGCAACAGGGAGTTACAAGGCTGGTTGGAATCTTCACTCTCCTGCCTACTTGCTTGTGGAACCTTGAGCAAGTTTTTTGATCTATTTCTGCCTTGGTTTTCTGATCTTTAAAATGGTACCGCAATAATACCAACCACATAGGACTACTGGGATAATTAAATGAGACAATGTATTTAAAAAGCCACTGTGGGCAGGGCATGGTGGCTCATGCCTGTAATCCCAGCATTTTGGGAAGCCGAAGCAGTTAGATCACTTGAACTCAGGAGTTCAAGACCAGCCTGGGCAACATGATGAAACCCCATCTCTAGAAAAATACAAAAAAATTAGCCAGGCATGGTTGGCATTTGCCTGTAGTCCCAGCTACTCGGGAGACTGAGGTGGGAGGATCACTTGAACCTGGGAAGCAGAGGTTGCAGTGAGCCAAGATTGTGCCACTGAACTCCAGCCTGAGATGTTTAAAAAAAAAAAAAAAAAAAAGCCACTGCCTTGATGCATCAACATGCAATATGGAAAGGTCCCTGAGCTGGGGCCACAGGGTTTGCTTGGTAGGCACTGTGTTTGTAGGAGTACAGTCTTAGCTGCTGTAACAAAGAGGCTCCAAAGTACAGTGACTTACTGAGAGAAGTTGATCTGTTTCCATGTCACAGTCTGGAGGTCAGCAGATCAGGTCTGCTGGGGCAGCTCCACATCCTTAATACGTGCTTTCCATCTCTGTGTCTAAGGAGATACCCTGGTTCTCGTCCTCTCCTTCCGGCAGTGGAAAGGGGGAAAGGGACTGGGCATGGGGGGTCGATGATACTACCAATTTTTTGAGGGCAAGATCAAGATGTGACCCTCATCACTTCTGTGGGCTTTACCTAGTCACATGACCATGGCTACTGCAAGGGAGACTGGGAAATGTAGTCTTTGGCCAGGCAGCCATGTTGCTGGCTAAAATTTATACTACAGAAGTATAGAAGAACAAAAGTTGGGAGACAACCAGCCACCTGCCATAGCCACTTAGGACCTCATGAAGAAAGGCAAGAGCGATAGTTACCTCTCAAAAAGGCTCTTTGCTGGGTTCCCTTGGCAGCAAGTGCATTGTACAAAGTCTAACTCCCCATGAACCAGAAGGGAATTCAGGAAATGATTCAGGCTCCCTGGCTGACTCAAACACTCAGGATCCTGGAGAGAAAAGTAGCCATACACCCATTTGGGGCTTGGGGTTTAGTTTATAATAATAATAATGACTTTGGCACAGAAAACTTCCTGAGGGTTAATGAATGACTGGCTTGGATTAATAGCCCAAATCACTGCTGAAGTCTATCAACTCCTTCCAACTTCATATTAATCTACAGGAAATTCTTTGTATACCCAGCTATTACTGCTTCAATCTCACAAAATAAAAATGAATGGATGTTTCATTAGAACTTGGAAAAAAACTTGATCACCATTGTGGGTGGCCACCATGCTATTATTATTTTTTTTTTCAGGCACATTTCCTGCATTTCCTCTGGTTCTCTTTCTGGCTTCAATTTGTTTCAGTGGCAACAGCAGCAGCTGGCCCTCTAGACTAACATCTCCTTGCTATTTATAATACACTTTGCAATGCTCATTATTTCTTAACTTTGTCTTCCCAGATAGACTGGGAGCTCCATGAGGTCCGAGAAAACCTGAAGTCTCCCAGCTCAGAAGAGACTTGCTATGGCAATCACTCAGTAACTATTTGTTGAATTGGACATAGTAGAAGAGCTGAAGAATTTTAAACAAGTCACCATCAGTCCAGTGGATTCCTCAAAGCAAACCTGGAAATCTCGGCATGAGTTGGATTTAAGGCAGTACATTTTCAGTTCCTCAAAATTTGAACAGTTTCTCAAGAGAACAACTTGAAACAGAAAGGAAGGATGTAGATGTGGTTGTAGAAGATGATGTCTAAGGCCACCAAACTGTCCACTGTGAAGATAAACCATGCATGTTTAGTAGGGCGGTGGCTCCCCTTCCCTGTGGGGAGTCCCACTGCTTCCCTGGCCTGGGAGTTCTCTGCCAGTAGATGTTATTGACAAAATAAGCAAAGTCCCCTGATTCAGATAATTAGAGTTTATGATAGCTCTAGATTGCCACTGCCATGCTATTTAAAGTCCTGCTTTATTGTCTGACATGAGTTTGGCACCTGTGAGGACTTGTCCAATGCAAGGTACAATCTCCACTGAAAGATACCACCAGCACATCTTGTCACTGTGCTGTAGCAAGCCGGGCAGTACAATGATGTTGGCAGGACCCTGTTTAGGTGGAGGATGGCTACCTGGGCATCAATAACATTCTACCTTGATTCCACATTGATTCCCAAACAGCTGTTCACCCACATCTTCTAATTAAAGCAGCAGATGGGAGTCCCAGCTAGAGAAAAGTTCTGGGAGCAGGAGAGGTGTTGGTGGCTTTAAAACCAAGGGTAAAGACTGAATTAGGAGGTGAGGCAGGAGTAGGATCAAAGGCTTAGAAAGTGCTTGTTTCCTTCTATTGTTCTTATGAGAGCTGATAAGGGGCTTTCAGTTTTGTGGGGAGCCTTGGAAGAGAATGAGGGAATTTAATCAACTAGCGGGACCTTTCCAACCTACATTTCCCAGTGTTTGTTGGGTGATACGTTTGCCTAATAAGTTAAAGCTTCCAAAAATAGAAAGGAAAGCTTGGCGACACTAAGCTCCGGCATGCTGTCATCTTCTGGCTAGGGGTCTTGTGCTTCTGTTTTTCTATTTCTGACCAAGGACATAAAATGTGTTGTGACCTCTCAGATAATGCTGTGGCATCATGTCCAAGCAGCAACTAACCAGAGTGGAGTTTTCATAGGTAAAAAAAGTACTGAATAGCTCAGCCACAGGGAGGATTTCACGATAAATTGCTTTTTCAGAAAATGACAAAGGGGCAGACACTTGCGGTTCTTCCATTGAGAGCCTTAAGGAAGTTAAGCGAAGCTCCGCTCACCCCTTCAAGTAACGATGACCCATCAGATTGTGGTCATAACCAGTAGCATCTGAGCCACCCCTAACCTCTCTGGGCCCCAGATTCCTTGTTAAGTTAAATGAGATGACTTCCCAGTTTACCATTCTAGGGATTCCTGAGGAGTTAAAAATGAAGGAGAAAATCCAACATGTACCAAGTGAACAAGAGCTCAAGGCGTATCACTGGCACGAAAGTGACCGCTGTCCATTAGAGATGTGCTTGCCCTAGATTTCCTTTAGGAAATGCAAACATTGAACTCTGACCTTCAGGACCCAAGCCCCGGCTTGTATCTATTCTATACACTTTCTGTTATTTGATAGGGCTCACAAGGAACAGTCTTTTTTTGTTGTTGTTGTGAGAGACGGAGTCTCACTCTGTCTCCCAGGCTGGAGTGCAGTGGTGCGATCTCAGCTCACTGCAACCTCCATCCGCTGGGTTCAAGCAATTCTCCTGTCTCAGCCTCCTAAGTAACTAGGACTATAGGCGTGTGCCATCATGCCCAGCTAATTTTTATATTTTTAGTAGAGACGGGGTTTCACCATGTTGGCCAGGCTGGTCTCGAACTCCTAATCTCAAGTGATCTACCCTCCTTGGCCTCCCAAAGTGCTGGAATTACAGATGTGAGAACCACACCTGGCCCATTTGTTTTCTTTCAAGACTTTCTGTAAGACCAGTACTTTAGGTGAACATGTGGACAGAACAAGAGCATCACTATTTTGCAATATGAAAACCGGAAAAAACAGAGGCAAAATGTTGAGCTTAATGGCACCTTTTTATAATTTGTATTTGGTGTTTGTCAATTTTCCATTGGATAGTTTGAGAGATAAATACAAGTCAATGACATGTTCTCTTTCATACCCTATTGTCTAATCCAGCTAACACACACATACACACACACACACACACAGAGTTTACCTAATTTATCTGTTCCCTGATTATTACACTCTCAATTGCTGCAGTCTCAGAAGCAGCATGGTGTAACAGAAAGAATATGAGGCTTAGAATCCAAAAGCCAGAGTGTGAATTCCAGCTCCACCGACTTGCTGGGTGACTTGAAGCAAGGCATTAAGCGTCTCTGTTTACTCATTTTATTACTTTCCTATTGCCTCTGTGATATAGCACCACAAACTTGCTGACTTAAAACAACACACATTTATTCTCTTAGCATTCTGGAGGTCAGGAGTCCGAAATCAATTTCACTGGGCTAAAATCAAGATGTTGGTAGGACCAAGATCCCCATGGAGGCTCTGGGAGAACCCATTTCCTTGCCTTTGCCAGCTTCTAATGCTGCATTCCTTGCATTCCTTAAGTGTTGACCCCTTCCCCCATCTTCAAAGCCAGCAGAGCAACACCTTGTTTCATTGCCTTCTCTCCTGTCAAATCTCCTTCTGCCTCCTTCCTATAAGAACACTTGTGGTTGCATTTAGAGGCTACGATGATAATCCAGAATAATATCTTTATCTCAAGATCTTTGACTTAGTCTCGTCTGCAAAGTCTCTTTTGCAGAGGGAAACATTCACAGGTCCCAGGGGTCAGGCGGTGCACATCTTTGGGGGACTTTATTCTGCCCACCACACTCATCTTTCTTTTTTAGATGGAGTCTTGCTCTGTCGCCCAGGCTGGAGTGCAGTGGCATGATCTCGGCTCACTGCAACCTCTGCCTCCCGGGTACGAGCGATTCTCCTGCCTCATCCTCCCAAGTAGCTGGAATTACAGGCGCCTGCCACCACGCCTGGCTAATTTTTGTATTTTTAGTAGAGATGGGGTTTCACTCTGTTGGCCTGGCTGGTCTTGAACTCCTGACCTCAGGTGATTCTCCCACCTTGGCCTCCCAAAGTGCTGAGATTACAGACGTGAGCCACCATGCCTGGCCCCACACTCATCTGTTAAGTAGAGCTAGGAATTCCTATCCTAAGGGACACAAAAATGAAAAAAGATTTGTGAAGAGGCACATAGTAAAAGCCCACACATGTTGCTGAGTTTGGAGGAGGGTGGGTCTGACCTCCCATTGGCTGGTCTCCGCCTGATGGACATCATGAAGAATGAGAGAGCCAGGACTAATGTGACTGGGGGGTGTTCAGGGGCCAGAGTGGCTTGAGGTGCCAGCAGCCCTGGTCGAAGGATGACTTCAGGAGCAAGGCTCAGAGCTGGGTGGAAGAAGCTTCAATAAACAGCCCCTGAGCCAAGCATGATGGTGTGTGCCTGTGGTTCCAGCTACTCAGGAGGCAGGTGGGAGGATGGCTTGAGTCAGGAGTTCGAGGCTGCAGTGAGCTATGATCACACTACTGTACTCCAGCCTGGGTGACAGAATGACACTCTGTCTCTAAAAAGAAAAGGCACCTGGATGCTCATGACCGAGATGGGGTGGGGGCGGTGGTGGGGTGGGACGGCCTCACTTTATAACTTTGCTTTCAGCATGATGTGGATTAGTGTCTTCCACGTGGGAAAATTATGTTTACCACTTAGAGAGCAGATAGTGCTTGGTTACCCCATGACGCTGGACGGTGGCAGGCTTAACTCCCCCATCAAGGGCCTTAATGTATTTGGATTCCTAGTCCTAGCAACAGCAGCAAATCTCCTTTTTCTTTTCCTTGAGCTGGTTGTTCACCAGGCAGTTGGGATGTTACATGGGAAGAGAAGACACACACCAGTCCCTTGTTTTCAAGAAGTCAGTCTGGTCACATCCTTAGCAGGTTATTAATCTTTTTCAAACCCCTCCTCTTCACCAAGTTTTATGATCCTGGGAATGAGATTCCTCCCCAGCATCTTTAGCGTTATCAGGGGTTAGGATTGGTGCAAGCAGCCACTTCCCTGGAATCATCAGTAGCCCTCCAGCCTCTAGGGGAGAGCTGCCAGCGGTCAGAGTTGTTGGGAATTACAAGGGAGAAGCTAGGGAGAAGGAACTCAGTCCCTCAGTCTCTGAACTTGGCTCCTGGCAGGAGAAGCCAGGAGAGTGGGCCAGTCCTAGATAGGAGCTCTCCCAGGGAATTCCAAGGGTTCTCCCAAGATCTAGTCACAACATGAAGAATTACTGTTGGTCTCTTGCTCAGATGTGCCTGTGAATTCATATCACAGATGCTTGATGCATTTGACAATTGTTTAATTGCTTGAGCCCTACTGATACTCTTTAGGTCACTTCAAGGGAGTGATTTCAAGTATGATCATTGCCTCAAATCTGTATGGCTTTCCTTGCCTCTGAGGTGCTTTAAGAGGACTTATGTCCTTTGACTCCCTTAGTAACTCAGGAGGGTGGCTAAGATGCAGCTCTAGAGGTCTCCAAGCTCTCTGCAAAGCCTGCCTTCAGTAGTCTGTGCACCACGAGATGCATAACTTTATTATTCTCTAGCTGAATTTAGCTCCTGCTTCGAGCCCCTGTTTTCCCATGTCATTTTAGGGGTTCCATGTTTTCCCTGGAGGTATATATATACACACACACACATCCCGGGGCCTCTGAGGTGCCAAAACATGTGTGGGGTCCATCTGGTTCACACTGATGTCCATGATCATTGATCTACATGGGTCATCAAGGAGCGATTTCCCTGTTGGAAGCTCCAAGTAAAATGTCAGCTCCAACATTCCACACAGCTCTGGGTACCACACTCCTTTTCCTTTTAAAAGATGATTATCTGCTAGTGGTGAATGCTCTTGGGGTTTTATTTGTAGGTTTTTTTTCTTGTCCCAAATGTCTATATTTCATCTTCACTCTTGAGGGATATTTTCCATGGCTAGAGGATCTAGGCTTTTCTTTTGGATTCCACTGTGGCTTTAAAAAAAGTCAGCTGACTGTTTATTTATGGCCTCTTTAAAGGCGATCTCTTTCTTCCTAAGGCTGTTTTAAAAGTTTTCTTCCTTCCTCCCTCCTTCCCTCCCACCCCATCCTCCTCCTTCCTTTCCTTCCTCCCTCCCTCCCTTCCTTCTCTTCCTCCCTTCATCCCATCCTCCCTTCCTCCCTCTTCCTTCTTTTTTCCTTCCTCCTGCCCTCCTTCCTTCTTCCATCATTATATATTAAAATATTAAAATATATATATTTTTTGAGATGGAGTTTCACTCTTTTTTTTTTTTTTTTTTTTTTAGACGGAGTCTCGCTCTGTCGCCCAGGCTGGAGTGCAGTGGCCGGATCTCAGCTCACTGCAAGCTCCGCCTCCCGGGTTCACGCCATTCTCCTGGCTCAGCCTCCCGAGTAGCTGGGACTACAGGCGCCCGCCACCTCGCCCGGCTAGTTTTTTTTTTGTATTTTTAGTAGAGACGGGGTTTCACCGTGTTAGCCAGGATGGTCTCGATCTCCTGACCTCGTGATCCACCCGTCTCGGCCTCCCAAAGTGCTGGGATTACAGGCTTGAGCCACCGCGCCCGGCGAGATGGAGTTTCACTCTTGTTGCCCAGGCTGGAGTACAATGGCACGATCTTGGCTTACTTCAATCTCCGCCTCCCGGGTTCAAGTGAGGTTCACCTGCCTCAGCCTCCCAAGTAGCTGGGATTACAGGCGCCTGCCACCATACCCAGCTAATTTTTGTATTTTTAGTAGAGATGGGGTTTCACCATGTTGGCCAGGCTGGTCTCGAACTCCTGAACTCAGGCAATCCACCTGCCTTGGCCTCCCAAAGTGCTGGGATTACAGGTGTGAGCCACCACGCCTGTCCTATTAAAATATTTTCTTCTGGGCCTTCCCTCCTTTTACTTCTTTTGATACCGCCATGAAATGCATGTTAGGTTGACTCACTGTATACTCTATTATGCTCTCTTCTGGTTTTTAATCTTTCTGTCTTCTTATACTGTAATGTCAATGTTTCT